CCACCAACATTATGACTCATTTCGTTGGTGTTGACTTTAATTCATTATATCCTTCATCATTTTCATCTAATCCTCATGATTTCATTCAATATACTGACCATAAAATGTATATGCCGGGAAGATTGAATGGTGTTATCATTTGTGATACAGCAACAAAGAAAGCAAAAGCACTGGGAATAATTAAGAAGAAAAATACTTTATTCGTGGCTGAAGTAAAGGGTCACATTGATGAAAAATACATTAATGATTACATAAACTTTTTACCGATAATAAGAAACTTAGATATTATCACAGATGAAAAAACAATTGGCAGTTTTATGTATAATTACATGAAATCAAACAATCTACCAGTTGACCAGAAACAGAGAAAATTAACTCAGTTAGCATCAACACACAACCAATATCAACCATTTTCTTCTTATTATCTTTGGTATCTAATAGACAGATTTCATTTTATCATTGATGATATTCAATCAATTTTAACATTTACGAAAAACACTTGTTTTAATGAATTTGCGAACAAATTTATGAACGAAAGACAAAAGGCTGAATTAGAAGGAAATAAAGGAAAAAGTTTATTTTGCAAGATTTCACTTAATGGATCATATGGTTACGATGCAATGAATACACAAAATTACGCAAAGACTAAAATAATGAATGCACAGAAGGCACGCGTTGCATGTATGTCAAATAAGTTTAAAAACATAAGAGAAATAGGTGAAGATACATATCAAGTGATGCTCAAAGATAGATTTTATAGATGTGATACATGTTTACAAGAGGCATTCTTCACTTTAGATAATGCTAAATACTGGTATTTGGTTTTCATTTATGATTTTATGTATAAATGCATGGATGTTAATCGTTTTCATTTCATTGAAGGTGATACTGATTCATCTTATTGGGCTATTGCTGGCGATCCAAGTCTTCCTAACACTCAAGCATTTCAAGCGATTGTAACCGATAAACAATTTTATGATAAAAACATTTTCAAATTCGCACCATTTGATTTCTTCTGTTTTGATGAGAAATTTAAACCTAAATTAAAGAATAAAGCTGAAGAAAAAGCACATGAGAAGAAGTTATTGGGTTTAGCAATTGAGAAACAAGGTGATAACATGGTTGCTTTATGTCCTAAGTGTTATACATCATTCAACGGTTCAATTGATGGGAGTGATTTTAAAAAGATTGCACAAAAAATGAAGGGTGTTAGTTTAAGACAAAATAAGCAATTAACACCTAAAAATTATTTGGATATAATAAATGATAAATTGATATTTGATGGTCAGAATATTAATTTACAACTTAAAAACGGGTCAATGACTCGCTTAACAATTGGTAAGACTGCATTAACAGGAGCACACACTAAGGCTGTATGTTGTGAAAATGGATGTTGTATGCCATTTATTTAATACAATTTAAAATTTTATTTTTAATGAAATGCCACAGAAGAGACAAAAGGAACCAAATGGTTTTGATACTATGATTCAAAGAGGTGGGCACCCTTAAAACACTTATTTTATTTTTATCATAAATGGATAACACAGATTTAAAAATTTTAATTGATGATTTAGTATTTAATCAAAATTTTCTTAGTTATTATGAATTAAAATCATATCTCCAAAAACATGATAACAATATAACGGGTGATGATATGGGATATTATTATTCATATTATGAAAATGAAGTTTTGAAATATCATAATAAAATAATTTCTAAAATTAAAGACAAAATTAAAAATAATGAATATTCAAAGGGAAAAACTAAATCACAACTTAAACAATTGAAAGATTTCAAAAATAAAGTATTAACAGAAGAAGATATTGATGAATTATATAATTTATATAATCCTGAGCCGCAAAAACCAAAGCCGAGGTCTAAAGTAGCAAATGTTCAACAGCTAAAGGAACAAAAACAAAAGGAACAAAACACCCAGGTCCTTCAGACCATAAATGAAGCACAAGCTTTAATTTATGATTCATTAGTTAAACCATATTCAGCCCGACTTTTAAATGAAGATCAACTTTTGGAATTCATCCTTCAACATAAACTCGAAGCAGGAAAGTATATCAAACCTTTATATACAGCATATTTAAAACAAATGAATAGAATACATCCAGAATTAATGAAGGGGGGAATGAAATCCAAAATCAAAGCAGATAAAATTAAACCACTTGCAACACCAAAACCTCCAACGACAGTACCTCCTCCTCCTTCAGTTAATCCTTCATCATTCACTTTATTATATCCATTTCAAACATTAAAGAAGCAAAAAGATTTTAAAAAGGATTTCAAGATATTAAATAAACTAATTGACCCAAAAATTCAACCATTAAAGGAAAAATTTAGTCGACCTTCATTTGCTCCATATCCATATTCATACGAAATAGATCATTTAGAATATTCAAAAGGAAACGTTACTTATTTATTTGCCATTAACATTAACACTAGATATTTATATTGCATTCCGGTGAAAGGGAAAACAGAACAGGAAACAAGAAGAGCTATACAATACTTACTAGATCATGAAAGAGTAGATAATATCAGGGGTGATGGTGATAAAGGATTTCAGGCAGCTATGACTCATTATTTCCCACAAATTAATTTTTTCTTCTCATCCTCTCCATATACATTTCATAATAAAATAGTTGATGCGGTAATGAGAACTCTTAGAGATGCGTTAGGGGTTAACGGTCAGATATACTGGGATGGAAATCATGACTCCATCATACAACAGTTAGTATATTATTATAATAATACATGGCATAGAACAATAAACATGAAACCAGTGGAAATGAAAAATGATATTTCAAAAGAATGGGAATATAATAGAAAGCAAATGGAAAAGTTGAATGATGTTAAACGTGAACAAATTAATTCGGGGCTCATGAATTTTAAACAAGGGGATAAAGTTTTGATTCATCTCGATTATGGAAAAACTGATAAATCAATGACAAAAAGAAGACGAAGATTTGACACAATAGCTGAATTTGTTAGATATATTAACGGTAATGCATTAGTTGAAGTTGACAATAAATTAATAGAAATTCCGATTTATTTTATTACTCCATTATATTTAAATAATATTTAATTTTTTTTATTTCGTAAGAAATGAGTGACAACAAAGAAGCCAAGAGTCCTGACGATGAATATAAAAAGAAACTAAACAGAATTAAATCAAAAATATGCTATTATAAAAAGAAGCCGCAATGTGGTGGGGTTGATGCCTATAAAACTAAAGTAATTGAAAACGATGAAGAGAGGAAAGAAATAATTGAAAAATTAGAAACTTATCGTTCAATCATTAAACTGAGTGAAGCAAAAATAAAAGAATTTAATAGAATAAATAAATTGGTTGGAAGAGATGAATTTAATAAAGATGAATTTTTAAACTCAATCCAAATTTAATTTTTATTTCTCTTTGACAACATCTCGAATAACTGAAGGTGTCACCAGGTCACCAGGTCACCGGGTTAATTAACTTCTCTGAAAAAATGAGACAACATGACATTTTGACAACACAGCAGGGGAAGGCAGTTATGAATTATTTTCGAATAACCTCATTTCTAACCTCATTTCTACCCTCTTGCGATTTTCATACGGAATCTCTTCTCTCGGTTTTCCGAGGGAAGCAATCATATGAAGAAATTCTTCTAAAAGTTCTTTTGTCTGTTGGTTTTCAAACCAATGATATGCTTGCTTTGTAGAACGAAGAGCATTCATTATACTTTGCATTTGGTACATATCGTCTTTGACCGAACGAATGAGTCTCAATTGTTTGTTATATTGTATGTACTCGTATTCTTCATTTATGGCTTCATGAACGATAGCAGTTGTTGTGTTCTCTGATGTTGACATTACTGTCATTTCATACAAAATAAAAATAATTTTAAAACTAACGTTATTTTCTGACTTTCACAAAAGACCAAAAATAAACGCTTTACATGTATTTTTCAGCAACTTCGTCAAATAATTTTATAGCACTATCTATCTCATCTACTTCAAACGTTTCTTTACCTTTCATGGGAGCACCATACCTTTTCTCAAACTTTTCAAGTAGTTCTGTTTCAGCAGCTCTCATATCATTAACGAACACAACCTTGACTCTATTGACTGTACTGTCATATCTTTGAGTTATATTATATGTCCTTCCTATCTTATATCTCTTTGTATTGAAGTCCTTCGGTTTCTGAACGATGTAAAGTAAGCCTTCACTGCAACGTTCCGTATCGAATGAACCATAAGTTATGAAGTTATATCCAACAACTGGGTCTAACCATAACAAACTATTGGTATAAGACTTTTGTCTATAAGATATGCTCTTGTTCCATGAAATGCTACTGATATCATAAGCTCAGGATTTCTTGTCAAAATTTTCTGAGTAGAAGCAATTCTAACCCAGTCCTTTGTTTTCTTTCCAGATGGTGTTATAATGTCTGACAAAGAATATTTGTTGTATTTCTTTGAGTATCTTACGTTTAAATCACCTATTCTAACCACTTTGGTGTCATTGTCAATCTTTCTAACTGTTTCAAACTCAATGTTTGTCATTACTGTCTTTACATACAAAATAAAAAAATAAATAAAAATATATTTTAGGTGAAGAGGTGAGATTTCACCAGTTTTCTCACCTAATTTTTCACCCCAGTTATTTTATAAGCGTTTTACATGAATTGTACGATGTATATTTGAAATTCTAAACAATTTCGTAGCTTCTATTTCTTCTGTCAGTATGTCAAAAGTTTTAACAATGCCGAAAGTTTCTTTATACTTCTTCTTGACGTCAGATAGAAGGAAATCGTCAGCTGTTGGATAGTTTTTGTTCAGAAATGCTAACATGTCCATTTTATCTTCTGCTGGTTTCTCTACTTCTTTCTTTAAGTCAGCATAGTCGTTTCGCATACGTTCTATCTCTTTGACGGAGTAGTTATATTTCCTCATTGCTGCTTTACATTTTGAACATTGCGGATTCATTTTTGCGTTATACATTGAAATTTGACCTGCTAGAACAACTAAGGCGTCAATGGTTTTCTTTAACTCAAAAGTTGTTGGTTTTATTTGTCCATTCCATATTTTACATCTTTTATCTTTATTTCTTATCTGCCATACACATTCAGCAACTAATGAAACAAAGTTATCGTAAGTCTTAAACTCCTCAGATTTATATATGTCAGAAATGTTTTTATAAACCATGTCGCAATCTTTGTCCATAACTTTATGGTTGCAATGAAAACCAAGGAATTCATAATTTACTTTACGTATGAATTTCTTTATTTCTACTGAATCAGTAACTTTAACTTCTATTTCATCGAATTCAGGAATAGTTAGTTTTTGTTGCTGAACTTCCGGTAATTTAGGCAAATGGTCTATGATATCTTGCATTTCATATAGCTCCTCTCCATTTGTTTCATCTTTCGCACTACAGTCTAAATTACTTGTTAAAAGTTCTTGCTTAATTCTTTGTATTTCTGTCTCAAAAGTATATGAAGAAGGAATGAAGTTTTTCATCTCTACCAACATTGACGTAGGATTCATGACTAGCGAGTTTGGTGCTGTAGTTGTTTGAATTGTTGTTGTGCCGATTGTTGAAATCATATCTTTTATACAAAATAAAAAAATAAAAATAAAACTAACTTTATTTCTTCTGTCTTAAGGAAATTCATGAAAATTCACGAGAAAGCAAAAGCAATCTGAGCCGCTAAGCGGTGAGGGTGAAAAAGGAGGTGAAAAAACTGGTGAAATCTCACCTCTTCACCTAAAATATATTTTTGTCTGATTTACACTCATTACGATGAAGTCATGACAAAACATTTCCAGGACTGTTGTCAAAATGTCATGTTGTCTCATTTTTTCAGAGAAGTTAATTAACCTGGTAGCACATGGTGACATAGTGACACCTTCAGTTCTTCAAAAATAATTAATTATTGAAGAACCTGAAAACATTAACGATAAAATCATGACAAAACATTAACGATAAAATCATGACAAAACATTAACGTAAACATTTATTTCCCCGACTGTTGTCTAAATGTCATGTTGTCTCATTTTTTCAGAGAAGTTAATTAACCGAGTGACATGGTAACATGGTAGCACCTTCAGTTCTTCAAAAATAATTAATTATTGAATAACCTGAAAACATTAACGTAAACATGAGACTTTGTCTCCGGACTCTTTGAGTCACTTAACGTAAACATTTATTTCTGTAGTTCATCCGCTACTTCATTACCTAATTAATTACAGACATAAAATATATTTAGTTCATTCGGTAAGCCTAAACCCTTTGGGTTAAGTGTGTTTATTGAACGCGGTACCATGCGAATACAGTCACAAATGGTGGCATGTAATCTTTACCCGAGCCTGTTGGATTTGTTGTGAAAGTGTGTGAATGATTTCCTGCGGTTCCACAGAAAATACCTGTGCTTGAATCTACTGGGTCAGTTGTGATATCATATCTATTCATTCCCCATCTATCCGAACCTGCTGCAAGATTTGTATAACCTCTTTTTGTTATTGAATGTGAATGATTACCTGTTGTGTTTGTAGTTCCTGTATGAGTGTGCGGTGGAAGGTTTGCTTCTTTAATTTTCTTCGAACCTCCTGTTTGCTTTGAATATCTAGCACAGTATAAGAATTTATCTACAATCTGCTTCCACGTACCAAAACCTAAAACTGTTGATGGATTTGTTGAGTTCATTGATGTATAAATAGAACCAACAGGATATAATGTTTGAAGAATTTCAGTCTTTAATGTTTGAAGCTCTGTTTTGTCTGCTTTCTTATCATATAAATCTTGAGCAGTGAATTTAACTTTATTTTCATCATCCATGACATAAACATTTTTACATCTAATTTTTTTCTTCGTTGTTATGTTTTCATTCGATGTTAAACCTTGTGGAAAGTTAGGAGGATTATAATATAATGCATCCCCATCAGTTCCGCCAACCGTTCCTTCAATACTTTCTATAGCAACAGTTGAGAAGGAGTTATGTGTATGGTTCTTATCCGCCTTAAGGTCTAAACATCCTGAAACCCATTCTGTATCAGCTTTAACTTTAAAAGTCTCCGATGTCCATTCATGATACCATTCAACCTTTTCTTTAATTTCATTATCTTTTTCATCAACATAAACCAAATTTGCCTTCTTCTCTAACTCACTATCCACATATTCCTTATCCACCTTCTTCATTATGTCATTTAGGAAACCTTCTATGAATTCCTCATTTAAATTAAATCTTCCAATCTTCAAAACTTTAGGAAATGCATTTAATGCGTAATATCTCTGTTCTTCTGGTGGAATTGATGTTATATCATCCGTTATACCTTTAATTTTAGAATTCATAAATAAAATTTCTTTTATATTTGATATCACTGCACCACCTTTGCAAACGAATTCGAAATGTTCATTTTTCAATACTATCTCCAAATCTCCATATTTCAACCTTTGCGTTTGTTCTGCCGTCTTTGAATTATATGCATATATGGCGTATGTAATGGTCTGAAGGACCTGGGTGCTTTGCGCCTTAAGTTGTTGTGGTTGCTGTTGTTTAATCATTTATTATGATTTAAAAATAAATATTTAATCCGTTATCTCATCAGCTATTTTTTCTATTTGAAATTGCCATAATATTTCATTCATAAATTCTAAATCACAATCAAATAGGTCAGTTATTCTAAATTTAATATTTGATAAATCTTTTGAATGAAGAATAAATGAATTCCCGGATAATTGAAACGGATATGATAAAGAAAATGTGTTTAAGTTGATGGATAAAATGTTTTGTATTGATGGGTAAGAGTTAGGGTCTAATGTTTGGTGTGAAAATCTCATTGGGGTATTAACTTTATCACATTTGATTAAAATGAAATTGGAACCAGTGTCAGAATACAAAACATCCCCAACATCTTTTTCAAAATTTAATATCCCCAACAATGACCGAAGATGAGGAGTACAAAATTTAATTTTCAGCGGAATTTAATAAGGTTATTTATTTCATCAAGTTCAAAAAGTTTATCAGGTTTTGATTTAAAATTTTCTTCATACCATACGATAAATGATTCATTTAAATAACTTAAAATCATGTTAATATCCCATTTCGCTATCACATTATTTATATACATATCATACGTTTTTTCATGGTCATCTTTAATAAATGATATATAATCTGAAGGGTCTAAAAGAATGGGATTAAATTTACCACTCACAGAAACGAGAGTAACATTATAAATTCCGCTAACTGTTAAATTTAATTCACAGCTTATTATTCGAAATAATATTGATAATTGACATTTTTATTACGATTAAAAATATGGTAAAGCGTTATTTTCCAGTGATAAATAAAACTAGAATAAGATTACCTCAAGAATTCATAAATTCAACGAATAAGAAATTCATTCATGTTATAAATTTTAGTGTTTTCAGAAAATATGAGTCAATGTCATATTCATCAACAGGTTATATTTCACTTCATTCAAATTTAGTTCAATCAAACCCATATAATGACCATTTCATAAGATTTTCAGATGGTATTAAAAATGTAATTGATAGATTAAAATATGAACAGATTGACAATATCGAATTTTTGGAATTTTGGTTTAAATATCCCGATGGAAAAAAGATTGAAGTTAAAGATAAAGCTGATACTATAACAAAAACAATTACAATGACCGATCCAGATAGTGGGGAACAAAAAGAAATAAAACAAACGATAGAAACTGGTGAAAGGTCAATTATTATCGATTATGATTCAAAGGATTATTATTCGATAATGTTAATGCTTGAATATTAAATAGCCTTAACAAAGAATTTTTCAAGTGATATTTTATATTCATCAACTATTTTATTATAAATATCATTATATGTTAAATGAAGTTCAGTTGTTGTTCCGTTCTTTGATATCTTAATTGTGCTAATATCCTTTATAGGATTTATTTTTGCAACTGTTCCGCAGCATGAAACCTCATCATCTATGAAAAATTGAATCTTAACGTCTGAATCTTGAACATCACAAAGAATGGCGATAATGTGAATTAATGATTCATAAGGTAAAATAATTAAACCGGATTGGTCAATTAAATTTATTATTGAATCATAATTATTAATTATTATATCACGGTAAATTTTCATTAATTCAGAATTAATGTCTATTTTATATGGGTTCTCGATGTTTGATGAAAGAGGTGGGGGTATGTTGGATAAGTGGGAATTTCAACAGGTTCTTTACCGGTTCAGATAAAATGATTGGGTCTCCATCTTCTTTATTTTGCTTCTCCCCTTTTTCGGTAAGTCACGAGTTAATAAATTTGGTTGAGTTGCTGACCTTGTTAATTCGGGCTAACATTAACTTTAACATTTTGAATAATTCGTGATTTATCATCATTTACGTTATAACCAACCGTAATCTCTGCTTTTGCGTTAGTGTTCTTTTGACTAGTGAAACGTCTTCTCATTTATAATCGAATAAAAAAAATATATTTAAACTTTTATTTTGCTGGAACTTTTGAATCTATTATTCCCTGTATTTGTTCATGAAGTTGATTTTTAGCATTTTCATCGAAATTAATAGACCGAATATATTCATTAATTGCATTCTTATAATCATCTGATTTCTCAAATTTTCTTTTATCTGATTCCTTAACTAAATCATAAGTTAAACCTCGTTGCTGATATAATGGTTTCTTAATTAAATCTTTGAATGCTTGAGATAAAGCACCTGATGCAATTCTTGCTACTATAATTGGTTGGAATTGCTGTTTAAGTTCATCTTTAACATTTGCGAAAACTGGATCGAATAAAGCAACTTTAAAGAATTTCTTAGCTGAAATTTCAGGTCTAATATTTGCATATTGACCATCAAACTGGTTAGAATATCGTGGTAATCCATCCGGTCCCTCTTCAATAGCATTTAATTCTTCATTGAAATAAGAATATGGATTATGACGGTATGAATTAATTGGACCATTTTCACCTTCTCCAATGTATTGTTTAACAGCTTTTCCATTTTCATCAAATTGCATAGGATAACGTTCATTATATATTTACGTTTAGGATAATCAGACATAGTTAATTTATAACCATTTATGACTTTAATATTACCTTGACCATCAGTAACGAAAACTTCATTTATACCATCAGGTTTTCCATTTGGACCCGTAATGTCTGCTTCGTGTGCTTCCCAATTTGGACCATGACGTTTGGCATATGCTTGAGCTTCTGGTAATGTTAAAACGTTTCTCATTTGTTTAACATCTTTTTGAAGACCAGCAACAATATGAACTAATTCTTTCATTCCATCAGGAACTTTCATAGTTCTATTATATGCACCCTTTTTGTTTGTCCCTTGTTTTAATGGAACCTGTAGAAGATTTGCTATTTCTGTCATGTTTAATTATAAATAAAAAATAAAAATTAATTATAAAAAGTTAATCAAATTTAACACTTCCTTTATTTAAATCAACTATTATTTTTCCATGTTCACCTAATTGCTGATATTGTGTGTAAAGTTCATTAATGCTCATTGGTAAATTCACTTGATAAAGCATAACGTTCAACTGTTGACGACTAAACCCACTGAAAATGAAAAGGGTTGATAGATTTGATTTAATGTTTGTGCTTAATGCTTTGAAGTATTGAACAGCCATAAAGAATGAACACTGAATGTGTCGACATTGAGTTAATAACTGATTAAAATATGATTTCTCATTTGTTATTAGTTTTGATTTCACTGCATCATCTAGAAAAATGAGTGAATGCAAAAATTCTCTATCAAAATTTGAAATAGAAAGTGTTTCAAATAATTCATCCCGTTGTTTATCAATAATTTTATCCTCTAATCCTTGCTTCTTGATTGTATTATATAATTCTTTATACATTAAAAAGTTTTTTAAATAATCTTCTGCTTCTTCTTGTGATAAATAAATAATTGGAATTTTGATTAAATGCTTTAAAGATTCAAATGTATCATCTGAAGGTGAACCTGAACGGTTGATATAAATTAACACATGTGAATAGGGGGAAGTGTTAGCAATAATGATAATTTGTTTTAATATCGTTAATGTTTTACCTTTATTTTGTTTACCAATTGCTGCAGTGATTGAATTTAAGTAACATTCAGAATATGGAATTTTCATTAATTTTTCCTTAGATAGAGCATTTCTATTATCACTCAATGCTTCATTAATCATATCATCTACGTATGTATTATATACTCCCGCTAATTCTTCATAAGGGGTGGATGAATTTAAATCCATTTAATCAAAAATAAATTTATAATTTTAAACATTTCTATTCATCAATATTTCATCATATGAACTTCTATACTGTGGTGGTGTACCTGTTGGATGATATTTCAAACCTTCATCCGGTGTCCATGTCCAATATGTAGTCCTAGTAAACCAAACCTGAGGAGGATTTGTCACCTTTGAACAGTAAGTGTCATTTTCACCCTGAATGATTGGATAAGCTTTCACTTGTACTGTAACTTGTGAGTTGAAAGTTTCTAATCCATCAAAGAATATACCCGCTCCATCACGTTGAACTGGAATAGTGCATAAGAATGAAGTTTGGTCTTTCCATGTTCTAGCTAATGGCGTGCCATTATCATCATTCAGTGGTCTAGTTAATGAGTCCTCGTATTCTTCTGTGCATTCATTCACTCCATCTAAATCAGAAGCTTGAAGCATACGTGTAAAGAATATGTCACCCACTGTGGTCATCGCTTGATCGGGGAAGTTTCTGGAATCTATAGTGACCTGAAGACCTCGAAGCATTGGATTTTCTAAAACCGTTCTTTGCATTGCATTCTTCGGAAATGTTAACACAACATCTGTAACATTATGAAGAGCGTATGAGAAATCTGAGCTAATACCTTCAGGAGTGATGCAACCTCCATTTAGTGAACGAACGTCAATATGTTGAGCTGGAATCATGAATGGATCTTCCTTACTGAATAAACGTGGTATTGCTTTAACTGATTCTTCAATTAAACCGTATCCTGGTGTAATGCATTTATCCTCTAAAACTTCCATCTTTGTGCATGAAATAATAACGTCATCAACTGTTGCGTCAGCAGATGTAGCGGCTAAGCTTGTAATTAATTTGGCAGGAAGTCCGATTTGTTGGAATTTGCGATCATATTTATAAACATGATTCATAATCTTTTCATAATTTTCATCAGTTATCTTTTCATAAACGTAATTTTGTAAATCAGCAACTCTTAACGGGTCAACCTGACAAAATACTAAAGTATCCCTGAAAACATAATATTTAAGAATGATTTCACCAAATGATTTAGGATAATCATCGAACGCCTGAAATGCTAACAAATCATTTACCGGAATAATCATATCAAAAGTGACATCAACTTCTTCATTTGCTTTCTTGAAAACTTCTGAAGGGTCAATATATTTACCACATACTGAGTTATCATATTTTTGAACATTATTATATAACGAATGAACAAACTTTTTAACTTTCCTTTCTGATTTTGGTTTATATGTTGCAAATGCGAAAGATTCACGGGCAATCCATCTGAAGATAACCGGCATCACCTCTTTCGGTTTCTACTTCTAATTGTTTAAAGCTTTGATTTGATGATTTGTAACCAACGAATAAACGCATGCATTTAAAAGCGGCATCACATGTGAAAGCTTTATTTGAAACTAGAGTTGCTTTAACTTTGCGTTTAATATATGTGTCACCTAATTGGTTCACATCATGAGCCGGATTTGTAATTCTTAAATGAGTTTGTTTATCATCAAAATATGGAGCATCAGAGTCATAGCATGAACTTTCAAGTTCTCTATAATATCTTCTACCGTCATTCTTTGCGAATATTTCATTTATCTTTTCGAATGAATGAAACACATTTCCATTAATCGGTTTAGTGTTTGGCACCAAATAGTTAGTCGTCATTTATTATTAAATAAAAAATCAAAATTAAAAGATGAAAATGAATTTTTAATTTTAATGAAATAATCAACTATGGCTGCAGGATATTTAAAAACTGTGGGATAAAGTAAAAAGAGGAGCGCATAAAGTTTGGGAAACAATGAAGAAAGGAGCAAATTGGATATTTAAGAATAAAGAAGCAATTAGTGACATTGCTGAATCAATAACACCAAAAGCTGCCCCAATAAGAGAAATATTAAATAAAGGAGAAAAAGTTTATCAAAGACTTCAACCGATACTAAGATAAAAATAATTTATTTTTCCACTATCTACCTCCTATTTTATTAAGTATTCCTTCAGCAATTCCACCAACTGCGTTACCTGCTTGTGCTCCCATCGCCGGATTACCTGCTTTAGTACCTAATACTCCACCTATGATAGTTCCTGCCGTTTTCGCTACTGGTGCCAAAAAGTTTGCAACGGGTTTAATAATATTTTTATGAACCCAACCCGCAGCTTTCTTAATTCCTTCCCATAATTTTTTAAAGAATCCTGCCGCCATAGTTGATTTAATATTAATTAAAAAATATATTTCATCACTTATATTCTAATTTTTATTTAATGATAAATGAAACCGATTTTAAAAATAAATGAAACAGAGGAGGAAGAAATTAATGAAAGTAAAGATGATAAACAAAAAATAAACATTGTTAAACCAATTACTGAAACAAAAATTTTTTCATCTGTTGAAGAATTTAATGACTATTATGTTAATAATAAAAAATTATTTGAAGAATTGACAACGTGTAAATTGAATAAAATGTTTAAAGTTGATGGATTCAAAATTTCAAAAATAAAAGGGGTGATTAGTTTGAAATCTATTCCTCAATCAAGAATCACCTCATTAATGAAAATTGATGATTTAACAAAAAGAATAGAAGAGATTGAAGAAAGAATGAATCAAATAATTGATTTCATAAATTATTCAAAAATGTAAGACATTGAATTTTTAAAGTTTATTTTTCATTCATGAAAATAATTATTTCTAATTTCTTCTTCTCGTTTATGAGGTCTTTGATTATGACTCCATTGATTCCATGAAATTAAATATTCTTTATCATTATATTTATACCTCATTAGCTTATTTTGGCTTTCATATTCATTTAATAATTCGCAATCTTCATTTTTAAATTGAAGTTTAACCCATTCAGGATTTAAACAATGTTTAATTAATCGCGGAATATCTGACATCATCTATATATAGCTTCTTTTATAAAAGATGAAAAATAAATTATTTTAAAATTAATGTTAATTTTTTAATGTGTTTATAAATAAATATTTATTACTAATTTATTTAATAATGTCGCGCTTTCTTACGAATTCATGACTTAAAAAACGTAAGAAAAAATTTTATATCATCTATGTATAGAAGATGTGAAAATATACCTTCATCTATATATAGACGTAACAAAAAAAGTCACACAACCCTTCCTATCCTACTACTAAATTAATTGAAATTCCGATCAAAAAAAAATTCACAAATTGGATCAAAAAAATCGAATCTCAAGTTAAAAATAAAAAATTTCTACATTTTTATCAAATTTAGATTTTTTTTCAAATCATGCGAATTGATTGAATAATTGCATATTTTATCCCATGCATCTAGAAGTATGTGTAATATTTTTGCTTTCATCAAGAAATTGTCGAATTTGATCTTAATTTTTTTTGAAAAATATACTTTTAGAAAAAGAAATAGTGATTGAATAGCTGCCCATGCTGTAAAAGGGTTATTTTTACAAGTAAAAAATTGTTATTTTTCGAGCAAGTCGAGGCTTTTTTACCATCTTATTTTTGAAAAATTTACGAAAAATTATATCTGAAAAAACGCTTCATTTTGATATCTTACAATGATAAAATACCAATGTTGCTGGGATATAATAGCTACACCTGGACATCTACTACATTAATGCGTATGACAGGTAAAGTTGATTTCAAAAGTATAGCCTGGAAAGATTACAATAAATCAACGATAATTCAAAAAAATTTCTTATAAGTTAACATAATAAAAATTTAATTTTTATATTGCTTGTATTATACTTAAGTATATAATATATTTAAATCTTAGAATGAAAATTCGGGACGCCCTAGCTATTCAATTTTCCCTTAGGACGTCCATAAACCTCTCAAAAATGTGATGTAAATATCACAATTTTGAGAAATTTACACTAGGACGCCTTAGGACGCCAACCCCTTTTTTACCCATTTTTTCTTCAGTCAAAATATCTCAATCATGAGAAAGAACAGAGTATTATGCTAATTCCTTTCAAAATGTACAATCTAAACATCTTACTTGTTATTCTGCAAAGTCAGTTTAGTAATTATGTATACTCTTATCTGTATTTAACTTGATTTGGTTGATCTTCTCTACTCTGAATCATATTTATAATAGATTTTGTTTTTGTTATTTTGAAAAATACAAAAGAAACTAATTTATAACTAATAACAATAAGTTTTTTACAAATAATTTTAATTAACAAGCGTGAAGAAGTTTATCTATGATCTCATTCATCAAATCCTTATCTTCAACAAACGGATACATGATACAGTTCTCAATTCTCATGTACTTATACAGCATTTCTTCGAAATTGAACTCGTAAAACCTTCCTTCGAGGACATCCCTGAAAATGAAGAATCCAATGAACAGCCTCGTCATCAGAATCATCCTCGCTTCCTCACTTTTGGAGTCATCAGGAAGGAAAGAGCGCCAAAACAGTAATTTTTCGAAAGTTCCGTTTGGATCAGACACTTGGAGTGCTTCTATGTAATAAAACAACATATCCAGTATTTGGCCGTATGAAGCTTTCGATTTTGTCTTATCAATTTCAACTGTTTTCAAAAGATGGCTTGCAATCAATGTCAGCCTTTGCGGAGGCTTCACAGCAATGAACTCTTTATCTTTCCTGAATTTCTTGATCAGTTCTGTCATTCTGTTCGAGATTTTGTTGAAAATATGAGACATTTCTAAATTATACTTGGAAAAAGCAATGGATATTGCTGGTCTTAGACATAATGAATATGGATGCTCTTCAAAGTTAATCGTTTTTGAAAAATTGCTAATATCTTTGAAAATTAGGTTTAAATTTACTTTTTGCTTTGTTGCAAATGATTTTTGGTTCAGTATCAATGATGTGTGTATTGCTATTGAGTCTTTCTGTGCATTTAATAGTATCTGTCTGTAATTTTCGAAAATTTGTTTTTGTTCTAGTATGGAAATGTTGTTTGAAAGGAATTCCATGTTGATCTTGAGATTACAGATCTCAAACCTTAACGCGTACCTGATAAATTCCTCCGAAACGTTCGTATTTGATAAACTTTCAATTGGATCATGAAATTTTGACAAACAGTTCTGTCTGTATTTAGCATATGCCGAGACAAGTGATGGAACATTGGTTTTGGCCGATGGTGATCTGAAAGAACCCATGGGAGAGTGTAAATCAAAAGTGAAGGGACAATAACCGTTTCTGAACAAGGAATTCGCGTTGTCTACGAGTTGTTGAAGAGGTTTCTGTAGTTTGTCATCGCGTAGAATCTCGAGGAGAACGACAACGTCTCGATCTGACAAAATTAAAGGAATTTTGTAAAGAACTTGGTTCGAAATCGCATCAGGAATTGTCTTTGAGTACCAAGAAACATTAATCAGCGCGTGGTAGAGAACAATCGGAGATCTTGTTAAAGCAGTGTCAATAATCGTTTGTATTGTAGCTGGTATGTATTGCCTTGCTGTATATCTGTTGAAATTCGATTTGAATATTGAAGTAAGGAATTGTAAACAGCGAGTTTCGGAAAAAATTTGGAAAATTTTGATAATTTCAATATGATATCTAGTGAGATGGGAGTTAGATTTTAGTATTGATTGCGTGATTGCTTCTGTAATGAATGTTTCTTCGATTTGTATAGTTAATAAACTTTGTATCAAATTTTCAACGAAATTTGTCCAAAAAGGAAAGGCACAATCGAAATACGATGTAAGCATAGCTTCAAATACGTGCTCTTGACTTGTTAAATTTAAGAAATCCGAAAGTAAGTCAAAACCTTGTTTACACATGTCCTGAGTATTAAAGAAAGCGTATAATGCTGGGAACGTTGAAAGACTGAACAAAGTATGCAATGAAAGATCATCTTTGAAGTATTTAATAACTTTTCCAGCGAATTGCCTGTGGTTTTGATGAATTATCTGAACTAAGTTCATCAGTGATTGAGAAACTGTTTGTTTAAAATGGAAAATGATACGTAATGGCTGCATAAAAGCGCATTTGAACATTTCTTCAAGACTTGGGCAATCAAAGAATTGGAAATCATCCGATTGTGCCAAATTCATGAGGCATATGGAACGAGAAATTTGAACAATGTCGAGATTTTCTGACCATAAGTCACTTGTATTAGTTTTAATATCACGTTCGCACCTAAAATTAAATATCCCTTTATAATAATTATACATTTTTCTAAGTGTTTCAATATCCTCGCATTGGTTTTCATCAAAAGAATTGGCTTCTTCCTCAAAAAAGTCCATCTCTTGGAAATAGTTTATTTTTTGAAGAAAAAAAAATCTGAAATGAAATAGTGTGAAATCCTGCATATTATTGATTGATTATCAAAAATAGTTGATAAAATTTTTCTGAAAGAATCCGATTTCTTTGAATACCGCCCAATAAAAAGCGAATAAATTCTTGGTTTCTTCTAAGATTAAACCATGCCAGATTATGAAAATAATAATACTATGTTGTAATCTATTAAACTATTGAGATGGCTTGGACCAAGGTTCGTTCATTTGATCACAATCAATCTCACATAAAATAATCTTCTCAAAATTTGACCAATTTTCTCATTCTACATTTTCTGAAGCAGACGATTGATTTAGGCGATTTCTTGTTGATTGAACATTACATATAGAGGTTTCTTAATCTATTTATGAAGAAATCATTCGTTATTTTTGAATCAAGTACCTAGCATTTGCCTGATTTGAACGTGGTTATGAAAATTTTTTTCCATCTTTTGTTTTTCATTAATCTGGTATTTTAAATATGAAAATAAAATAAATTGGCTAACCATCATGACATTTTTCTGAACGCTCTCAATCTTTGTCAAATCCATATTGCATAGGAGCAATAAAATAAGATTTTCAAAAATCAGATTTTGACGATTGAAGAAGAAATAATCGTAACAATAGAAAATATTTAGTAATGAATGATAATAACTTGAATTCTGCCGATGAAGATAAATTAATCTCATGCAAAGTCGTTTTAATTGGAAACCCTGGTGTTGGCAAGACATCGCTTGTTAATTACTGGATCAATGAAAAGTTTACTCGTAGATATGCTCCTACAATTGGTGCAAATCATTTAAGAAAGCTAATCAAAGTCGATGACGAGACAGTAGATGTATGTGTATGGGATACTGCTGGCCAAGAGCAATTTTTATCTCTTGCTCCACTATATACTCGTGCAGCTGCTTGCGCAATTGCAGTAGCTGCAATTGATGATATCGATTCATTCAAGGCTCTTCCTACATGGGTAAATATGATAAATGACTCTTGTGATGAAATACCGCCAATCTTATTAGCCATTTCAAAGACAGATCTAACAACACCCAATTGCCCAACTGAAGAATATATCGAAACTAATTACGGCACTTATTTTGCAGGAATTTTTTACACAAGTTCCAAATCTGGAGAGAATGTTGGTCTGCTTTTCACACAGGCATCTAAACTAGGACTCAATTTTATTAGATCACGTCATAATTTCAAAACAAATAAAACTGATCTCAACGCTGCAACTTATCTTGAGCCAAAAGAACAAAAATGTTGTTAATGTTGTTATGCACTGCTCAAAATCTATTTGGTATCATATTCAAGACTATCTGTTATTTTAAATCTTAATAAAATATATTTATTTTCATTACCGAATCATTTACATAATACCAATGCTCATAGAAGCTGCATATGAATACTTTATATATTTGCTTTTTGCAATATTTTATATAACATTTTTGAATTGCTCCTTTTCTTTAATTACCAATAAAAAATAGATGATTTTTATGCATAATTCATATCTCTCTGAATTCATTATGCCATTATTATCATTGTTGCCAATGAAATGTTAAATGATTATAAATTCAATCAATCTAGTGCTTCAACATTCAACCAAATTCTTCAATATGAGCAAAATGATGCATATGATTATATTCCAACTAATTTCGAAACAAAAATCCAAACTTTAAAGCATTCGAATGATTTACCTTATGAAACACTGAACGAATTGCTTGATAATCTTGATTCAAGATATCTACAATCACATGCACAAGAGATTTTCCAAACTTATAATTTTAATGATTGCCTCAGTAAGTTTTTATTGAGTCCAACACCAAATATTTCTATTAATATCCTGCAAAAATGCAGATTTTTTATAAATTCCGAGATTCTTTCATCCAATAAAAAGTTTTGCACAATATTATTTCTTGTTCTCAAGAGACATCTTCAAAATGGCAATGCAATAGATTTATGCTTAGATATTTTATTACGAATATTCAGTTTAGGAATGGAGATTCTTCAAATTTCTTTATCTTACATTCCAATTTCTGATTTAATACAGCATTTCTACCAAGATTATCCCAATCACATAGTACAACTCATTAGGATAGCTTTATGCTTTGAAATTTCAGATAATGACAAACTTTCAATCCTGAATTTTCTGAATCAACAAATGCAAGGTCCAAATCCAGATGAAATGTTATTGTTATACGTGATATCATCTATGAAAACCATTCCTTCAATTCCAGGACAATTTAGCAATTTAATTTTCGAAATAATTCGGAGAAGATTAGCTCCAAATGACATATTATGTATCAGATCCCTAACAAATATGTATAATTCTCACATAATCTCTATTTCTATTGATTATTTCAATGAAATATTAGATATTTTTCAAAAAAACACTAATTTTTCATTCTTCGAGTATTGGATGAATTTACTGATATCGATTGTTTCATGTAATAGAGATATAGCCATATATGTCTCTTCAACTCCTTTAATTTATGATTTGATAAATAATTCAGAACATTTATCGCATACACAAAAGTATTTCATCTTTTGCTTTATAGTTACTATTGTTAAGCAAAGCAGAAATGATTTCTTTGAAACTGCAAATTTAGAAACCATATTTAACTTTTTGCTTCAGTTTATCCCTTGTGCCATTAAGGAGACTATAGAAGATATACTTGTTATCGTACTTCATATGCTTAATTTTGCCTCTGAAGAGCAGAAGAAAATGATTTTAGAAAATGAAGATCTCAGAGATTATATTGATCAATACGAGAGTGACAATGATGATACTTTGACGACACAAGTTAATTGCATTCGTCAATTAATCCATGATTCCTCTGAAAATTAAATTTATATTATTTTGTTTTTAGAATAAAGATTTTGTATTATAAAACTAGCAGCGTTTTTACATTCATTATCAATCCATAGCTATTGACACAAAATCGGCAGAAATCATTAGCAAATTTTGACATTCAATGAAATGATCAAGAATATTATTGCACACATGCGTTCGTGGTTCAGGCCTATATTCCCAGAAGAGTGTTAGTTGCTAGAAATATTTGAAATGGTATACGTTTATTTGAATGGACAAAAAAAATTACTAAAACCAATTCAAAATAAAATGGTTAATCTTGACAGTGAGACAAGTAATGCTATACAACAATTAGTTGATTTAAATAAGTTACTACTCACTGGAACAGAGCAGGATGTACAAAAAGTTATTGATTTTACTTCAGAAATCATCAAATTAGGTTTTATATCTATAAAAGGAGCACTCAAAATGTTCGAAGCAATCGGTCTTGCTAAAAATCCACGTTTCTTCTTTGCATTAATCCAACAAATTTCTTCAAATTCCCTCTTCGATTACGAAAATAATAAAAAAATCTTAAAGACACCACATTAAATTATATAGAGTCATCAAAAACTAAACTCGAAGAACTTTGCTCTAAAAGTTCCCTTATAGATGATAGTATTTTCGTTGAAAAACATATATTTTTAGAAGAAGTCATAAAAATCGACGATGTTCAATCAGTAAGAGAGAATGTAGAGACGCCAAATGCATTATACAATGAAATTATGGAATCATCGCGGCAGATTCAGCTTGCTGCCGAGTACAAAGCCGTAAATTGTTTTAAATTTTTCATGATGAACAATCAAAGCATAAATAGCTCTACTGTAAGTGATGCTTGCAGTGGTGGCAGTACAGAAATTATAGAAATGGTCGATCACATTGCGCATTTCCCTTCTTACAGCATTGATTCCGTAATTCGCCATCATAACAACGAAGCATTCGATTACTTGAGGTCCAGAGCGGGCATGAACATATCCTTTGTTGCTGCATTCAGGTATTCCAACTTTATTGTCGCACAAAAAGGAATTTCCGAATTAAATCATATCAACGAATTCGAATCTGATGACAGCAACCTTTTACTTGGACCAACCGTAAGTGATAACTTGTATTTCTTCAAGAAATTCCTTGAAAACGGCACAGAAATTAAACAAATTAATTACATCAACAAAGCCGCCATTCATTCATCATTTGACATTGTTAAATACCTTGTAGACAATGGTATCTATCAAGTAGATTCTATTACTCTCCCTGATAAATGGTCCCCACTCCATTACGCAGCGAATTCAGGAAGTTACGAAGTCATCAAATTTTTGGTCGAAAAAGGCGCCGACATAAACAGGAAAGATTCAGACGGAAACACTCCTCTGCATCTCGCATGCCGTTCATTGGGAGACAAAGAGTCTATTCTGTACATGCTGGACCACGGAGTTGATCCGAAACTAAAGAACAACGAAGGACAAACTCCTTACATGAAAATCGAAACTGATGGAGATATTGGATGCGAAATTTTGGAAGCATTCATTTCAAGGAAAGCAGCAACAATTGAAACAAAGAATGAGTTTGGATTAACTCCTCTAGTTCGTGCAGCACAAAGCGGAAACCTCAAACTCGCGAAATTCTGTATTTCTCATGGCGCAGATGTTGACGCAAGAGATCCAACACATCAAAGAACAGCTCTAATCTTGGCAGCATATAAAAACGATGTTCCAATGATTGAGTTGTTGTTGGACTATCTCGCAGACATTGAAGCGAAAGATGAGTATGGAAACACTGCATTTCTTGAAGCTGTTGAATTCGACTGTCCTGATGCAATTTATTGTCTGCACAAGCACAACTGCAAGACAAACTTAATCACACCAGATAACTACACTCCAATGATGATTGCTGCGAAATACGGAGCATTGAAATCGTTGGAAGCATTAGTTAAAATTGGTTGTGATATAAATTGGCAGCGTCCTAATGATATTTTCACAGCTTTAGAAATGGCAGTTAATGTTGGAAATCTCGACACAATTAATAAACTGATTGATCTCGGCGCAAACATTGAAAGATACGGAAAAGTCCTTGTTTCTATCCTTCATTCTGCTGTTTACAGACAAAACATTGATGTCATTAAGCTTCTTGTTAAAAGAGGTGCAAATATCGAAGATAAATGCAGAAAAGATGGTGCAACACCTCTTTATGATGCATATCAGTTTGATAGAATTGTTTCTTTCGAATATATGTTGTCTATTGGTGCAAATCCAAATGCAAAGAACAAAAATGGAGTTTCTATTTTGTTTGGAATTTGCGACGATGAACAAGTTGAGTTTTTGAAAGTTCTCGTTAGATATAAAGTAAACGTTAACGAGATCTCTCAACCAGAAGGTGCAAATGCATTGGCTCCTTGCATCCATCGCGAGAATCCAGAGATGGTTAAGATCCTTTGCCAGGCCGGAATCAATGTAAATCACAAAGATCCACTTGGAAATTGTCCTCTTTTGTACGCAGTTCAATACGGAAATGCCAAAATTGCAAAGATCCTTATGGAATATGGAGCACATCCAGACATGCCTAACAACTACCACATGACACCAATGTTTCTTGCAAAGCAATATTCGAAGACAGATCTAATCAACATCATGGAAAGAACTAAGCAAAAGTATAGAAAGTAAATAATAAAACATTATTCTTATATATTTAAATTAATTGATATTATTCATATAGAAAGTTTTCTTTGAATAGGATTATATGTTAAGAGGTCCTTTCGTCTTCTGCTGGATATATTTTTTGAACTCTGAAACAGCAAAAAGGGAGACAATGATACTTAGATGCTACCATAATATTCAATCAATTAAAAAATTCCATCTCTTCGAAAAAGAGTATTTCGTTATTAAAAATTTATTAGTATCTTACTGACAATTAAAATTTGATTATTTAAATTTGAAAACAAAACAAAAAGTGTTTTGAAAACGTTGATTCAAAAAAAAGTTTTCCATTCAAAATTGAATATCAATTCAACCACATAAAAGATTTTGACTTGAAATTAATCTTCAATTTTATCAGAATATAATGAATAAAAATATGTCTAAAAGATTATATCAATCGATATTGCAGCAACATATATCGATTTATCACTGTTATACAGTTTTTACGAATATTTTAATGATAATACTTTTGAGGATAGAGCAAAAAACGAAACAATCACAGGAATTGGTGATTATTCAGCACATAATACAGTTTTTTCATTTCATAAACAAAATGGTGTTATTTCGCTCCAAAGTGAAAGTAGATTACTTATTAATTCATGTTCATTCTACAACAACAGCTCCTCAAGAAATGGTGGATCTGTCATAGTCTATGGAGAATGCATTCAAATTAAAGTATGCTGCTCTCACTCTGTTACTTCAGATAAAGGAAGTTATTCTTATTCACAAGCAACTGAGAATTCTAATGGGAAGAATTACTTATTTGAATCATCAATTGTTTTATGTAATGGACTATCTGGTACTGTTTATATGAACTTTGGAGATATGCAGGTAAATAACATCAATTCATCGCACCATTCTTCTCAAGCATATTCTGCATTTTGTTTATATGGAAACACTGGAAAAGGAAAATTAAATGAATCCACAATATTTAATTGTAGTTCCCCTAACGCTGGTCCTATTTTTCTACTTGGTGATTTTGATGTTAATCGTTGCATTTTTAAAAGAAACAAATCATATAATGAGATTATTTGTGATGGTGAAAATATTTTTAATAAATGTTGTTTTATTGAAAATATAGGATCGGGAATATTCATGTTTAATTCATATGTTACAGATTGCTATTTTGCAGATAATCAAGTAACATACACTTGTTTCTATTATCCAGAAGTAAGTTATTCCCAAGCAGATGAATTTGATTTAAATTTAAAACATTTATTATTACCAGAATCATGCGAAAATGGACTTCAAGAGCAAAATGAGGAAAACAAAATTATCGGAATAGCCAAAGGTATTAAAACCATTGCAAAATTAATACGTTGTGCTTCATCTCTCCATGCAATGAATTATTCTTTTCTTACTTTTTGAATAATAATAAAAAGCAGCTATATCTCATTAATGGTTTTTTGTTTGACATTTGATTATGAATTGGCATATTAAGCATGTTATTAATTTCAAAAACTGCATAATATATGCCTATAAAATTGTGAGAAATAAAACCACATACCAGATTCGGATCAGAAATTTTATGATAAACACTTTCAAAATTGAATACTTATTCAACCATTTTAAGGTTTATAACTTGAAAAATTTATCGACGATTTTATTGCGATAATATGAAAAATGTTATGAGTTGGGAGTTATATCTATCAGTATTGCAGCATTGCAGTACAAATTATCATTGTTTTTTAGTTTTTATGAATATTATAATGATAATTCTTTCCAAGATAAATCAAAAAACGAAACAGTCACAGTTGATGGCAATTACTATGTACACAATACGGTATTTTCATTTCACAAGCCTAGTGGAGTCATTTCACTCAAGAGTCAAAGCAAGGTTCTTCTCATTTCATGTTCATTCTATAATAACAGCTCTACTGAAAAGGGTGGATCTGTACTAGTATATGGTCAATGTATTCAAATTAAGATTTGCTGTTTTTATTCTTTTTCTGTGAATGAAGGATTTTATTCATATACAGAAGCTTCAAATCCGAATGATAAGAATTACATATTTGAATCATCTGTATCTTCATGTGTCAGAACTTCATGGACTCCTGGAGCTGGATACACAATTTTCAATAAAGGTGGAGATATTCAAGCAAGTAACATCAATTCATCATTTAATATGGGAAACTATGAAACTACAATTGCCGTGCACGACTCAACTGTAATATTGAATTTAACAACAGCTTTTAATTGCACAGGAATTATTAATTGGCCTTTCTATAGTGATGATGCCGTTGAAATTTCTAAATGCAATTTTATGAAACTAGAGAGTCCAAATTTAGTGATCTTTTGTATGGAAACAGTTAAATTTTCTAATTGCTGTTTCCTCGAAAACAAAGGGCCTGGTCTTTTTTTACAAGTCCCAATAATTGTTGATTGTTATTTTGCAGATAATAAATATGAATATACTGATTATATGGGGAATCAAGAAATTCCAGGTCAAACAAGTTCTTTTGACTTAGGATTAAAGCATTTGATGCCAGAATCATGTCAAACTATTTCTGAAGAACAAAATCTCCATATCAATGTCATTGCTAAACCAAAAGGTATCAAAAGCATTGCAAAATTAATTTACAATTGTTCAATTCACCAAGCAATAAATTTTTCTTTTATTTAAAAAATTGTACTTATAAAAAAAATCAGTATTTTTAATATAAAAAAAAGAAATATATATTTCTGAAAACAATTAATCTTTTCTTGGTGAAATCGAGATTGGAGTAAGGTTTCCTGGTCCGCCGTTAATTCTCTGTGCGAAGATCAAGATGCACATTATAGATCTGATAGACAATTCCTGGTTTGTCTTGATTGGTTCCTGAAGAGCAGGATTCTTGAGAACCTTCTTCTGCTGTCTCAATGTGTCCAGTCTCTTCAGTGTTGATCTGTCCTTGATTGCTGCAAGAACATCTTCAGAGAGTTTGAATCTGAGTTCTTGAACAGGGATCTCTGCAGATGACTCATTGACCTGTTTGAAGAGAGATCTGCCCCAGTTCTCCCACTCTGCTGCTTGTTTCGCGTCCTGTGACATCTTCTCTGTGGATCTCTTCAGATTTGTGAGTTCGTTCTCGATTATTCTTCTTTCCTTTGTGATTCTCGCAACAGCTGTCTCTGCGTTGTTCTTCGACTGAACCTCGCTGGCCCATGCCTCTGAAAGAGTGACATTCGCTGCCAGTTTGAGGTCGCCGCGGAGTTTGATTGCGTCTGCGAGAATTCTCTTGTCTGATGTGTACATCTGCAGTCTTCTGTCCAGTCTGTTGAACAAGTCGTTGAATGAAGCGTCTTCTTCTAACTGCTCTCCGAACTGGTTCTGCAGAATCTTTGTGATCGCCTGTCTCGTCTGCTCCAACTGTGCCTTGGCCTCGTCGATCTGTCTTCCTGCCTGTGCCTTGAGGGAGATCATGTACGTGTTGTTTCTGGCTTCAGCAGCTGATTTCTCCAGTGCCTGGCGCTCTTGCAATGTCTTGAGTTTGAGGTTGAGTGATCTTTCTGATACTCTGAGGTTTGTGATTGTCTGCTGGAGTTCCTGGCGCTCCTTCTTTCCTGACTCGTTCTCTTCCTTGAGCTGCTCTGTCGCTGCCTTGAGATCTTGTATTTCTTTCTCTAAGTTTGTGATTGTGTCCTGATACTTCTGTTGGACGGCGTCGTTTCTTGTCTTTAAGTCCTGGAGAGTTGTAGAGTTCTGTTGTTCGTAATTTGCGATTCTCTTCTTTAGTGCCTCTCTGGAATCTCTCAACTTCTTCTCGTTTTCAGCCAAAGCATCGAGTTGTTCCTTCTGAATAGTGAGTGTTTCCTCCATCTCTGCGTTCTGCTGGTGCAATGTCTCGTTTTCAGAGACAATTGCGTTTGTCCTCTCCTGGATCTGGTCGAGCATCTTCTTTGTCTCTGTCTGTGCGAGGAGTGCCTTCTTCAGCTTGGCCGTCTTCTCTCTGAGAGCTGCTTCGAGTCCCTCTGTCGTTGCCTTGAATCTCTGTGCCAGAGACTGGTTCTGCTGAGAGAGCTGAGAGACTTTCTCATTCAACTGCTGTGTCTCTTCCAATCTGGACTTCTCTGCCTCTTGGAGAGAGATATCGCGTGTCTGGATCTGTTCTGTTGCTTCCTGCATTGAAACTTGGTTGGATTCTTCCATTTCCTTCTTCTCGTTTTCGAGTTTTTCGATTGTCTCCTTCAGTTCCTTGTTTTCCTTCGCTGCGTCTTCGTACTTCTGAGCGAGTTTGTTTGCCATCACGTCCATTGCTGTTTCTCCGTCGTCTTCAGTGAGTTTGGCCAAGACAGCTGTTGCAGCCTCTATCTTCTCCTGGTTGACTGCCTTCCACTGAGCCAAGTCGAAGTTATCGCGCTGTAAGTTTCTGAGTGCTTCTGAGTTTACAACATTTCTGTCTGTTTGGTGTGATTTGTTTCTCTGGTTCTCTGCGAAGTTCATGACCATCTTGTTTACCTCGCAGACAGAGGCGAAGAGGGCGAAGAGTTCGCGCACTGGAGACTCCTTCAGCTGCTCCTCTGTAACGAAGTTGTAGAATTCTTTGAGTTGTGCCTCAGTTGACTCGAATGAGCCTGGCTCGAAGATGGACATGTGGTTTGGAAGGTTCTCTATGCCGACAGCAAGAAGGTTCTCGTCGACGAAGTGGCCCATTCTCGCCGCCTGTGTAAGAAGCTGTGTCCTGACTTCTGAGTCGATGCCGAGTGGACAGATGTCACCTGCTTTGTCGCCAGCCTTTGCAATTGACTGGATGAAGCGGACGGCGTCTTCCAATCTGGTAAGTAAGGCGATGTACTTGTTTTTAGCGACTGTCTCCTCCTTCTCTTCGACGACTGGCTGCTGAGGAACAGCTCTTGTCTGTACGAGTGCTTCGATTGTTGCCAAAATGAATTTTTCGGAATCAGAGCCATTCTGAGGAAGAGATGAACGTAAGTCGCATGGGATGCGCTGCTCGACTTCCTGTGCGAGGGTTGGTAATTTGTCTGTAAGTGCTTCGTTCTTCTTGATTAATTCGGACTTCATCTTCTCGCTTTCAGCCTTTTCGTTCGCATACTCTGTGAGCATCTTCTCGGCATCGAGAACGGCACCATCGAGCGATCTGATGTTCTCAATGAGGATGTCTCTCTGGTGAACGAGATCTTCGATTTCTGATGCCTGAGCAGCGACGAGTTCTTCGAAGAGCTTGGCTGTCTTCTCAACTGGGTCGGTCTCCTGAACAACTGGCTGGTTCTGGATGGCTGCAAGTTGAGCTTTTGTAAGATCTTCGGTTAATTTGGTTTTCTCGCGCTTGAGATCGTCTTGGGCTTGTTTGAGCTCGCGGATTTGGGTCTGGGCTTCCTCGTTAGCTGTTTGTTGTTCGCGTAATTGGTCTTCAAGGGCTAAAACTCTCTTCTTGTATTGGCGAAGTTTCTTGTTGAGTTCTTCACCTGTTTGCATGAGCTGCTCTTGGTTGGCTTCATCAAGCTGAGTTTGATCAAAGCTCTGCTGAAGACGTGAAGTAAGTTCGTCATTCATTTCCGTTGCCTCCTTTAACTGGTCTTTAGTCTTGAGGTATTTGGTGACGAATGCTTTGATGACGGCTTGAACGTCTGAAACAGACTGTACTTCGCGTGAGAAGCTTGTAGATAAAATCTTGTAAACTTTCTGAAGCTGTTGCTTAGCTGAGGCCTCTGAATCTGCTGTGGCCCCAGACTTGTTTGGGGATGTAGGGAAACTTAAGTCTCCAAATGATTCCTGGTCACTCATTTAACGAATTAAAATAAATAATGAATTTGTAAATAAAACCGCTTCATGTAGATTCAATTCTTTACATCACTCATCTTTTTTTTCAGTTTTGGCGCGGTTTTTTGGAGTTTCGATTTTAATATAGATCTATATTGTACAATTGATGTAGTGATAGGAAATCTAGCATTTCTCTTTTTAATTCTGATGTCAATTGCGCCAATGTTGGAGTTGAGCGGACATTATGGGAGTTCTTCAATTTTCGCCTATATAATGGTGCTATGGGAGAAATAAAAAAATCTTACACTTCACCGACTTGAAAAGTAGTATATGTGGAAGGGTTGTGTGACTTTTAATGTTACGTCTATATATAGATGAAGGTATATTTTCACATCTTCTATATATAGATGATATAAAAATTTTTCTTACGTTTTTTAAGTCATGAATTCGAAAGAAAGCGCGACATTAATAAATAAATTAGTAAGAAATATTATATACTAAACACATTTTAAAAAAATTAACATTAATTTTAAAATAATTTATTTTTTTATCTTTTATAAAAGAAGCTATATATAGATGATGTCAGATATTCCGCGATTAATTAAACATTGTTTAAATCCTGAATGGAATCAATAAAGTCATAATCAAAGACCTCATAAACGAGAAAAAGAAATTAGAAACTAATGATTATTTGAATTTATGAAATCAATTATTTGATTCATTCTTTCTTCAATCTCTTCTATTCTTTTTGTTAAATCATCTATTTTCATTAATGAGGTGATTCTTGATTGGGGAATAGATTTCAAACTAACCACCCCTTTTATTTTTGAAATTTTGAATCCATCAACTTTAAACATTTTATTCAATTTACACGTTGTCAATTCTTTAAATAATTTTTTATTATTGACATAATAGTCATTAAATTCTTCAACAGATGAAAAAATTTTTATTTAAGTAATTGGTTTAACAACGTTTATTTTTTGTTGAACATTTTCACTTTCACTTATTTCTTCCTCCTCTGTCTCATTTATTTTTAAAATCGGTTTCATTTATCATTAAATAAAAATTAGAATATAAGTGATGAAATATATTTTTTAATTAATATTAAATCAGAAATGGCGGCAGGATTCTTTAAAAAATTATGGGATGGAATTAAGAAAGCTGCGGGTTGGGTTTATAAAAAGATTATTAAACCTGTTGCAAACTTTTTGGCACCAGTAGCGAAAACGGCAGGAACTATCATAGGTGGAGTATTAGGTACTACTGCAGGTAATCCGGTGATGGGAGCACAAGCAGGTAACGCAATTGGTGGAATAGCTGAAGGAATACTTAATAAAATAGGGGGTAGATAGTGGAAAAATAAATTATTTTAAAATTATTTTTATCTTAGTATCGGTTGTGTCTTTGATAAACTTTTTCTCCTTTATTTAAAATTTCTCTTATTGGGGCAGCTTTTGGCGTTATTGATTCAGCAACGTCACTAATTGCTTCTTTATTCTTAAATATCCAATTTGCTCCCTTCTTCAATGTTTCCCAAACTTTACTCGCTCCTCTTTTTACTCTATCCCACAGTTTCTTAAATATACCTGCAGCCATAGTTGATTATTTCATTAAAATTAAAAATTCATTTCCATCTTTTAATTTTGATTTTTTATTTATTAATAAATGACGACTAACTATTTGGTGCCAAACACTAAACCAATTAATGGAAATGTATTTCATTCATTCGAAAAGATAAATGAAATATTCGCAAAGAATGATGGTAGAAGATATTATAGAGAACTTGAAAGTTCATGCTATGACTCTGATGCTCCATATTTTGATGATAAACAAACTCATTTAAGAATTACAAATCCGGCTCATGATGTGAACCAATTAGGTGACACATATATTAAACGCAAAGTTAAAGCAACTCTAGTTTCAAATAAAGCTTTCACATGTGATGCCGCTTTTAAATGTATGCGTTTATTCGTTGGTTACAAATCATCAAATCAAAGCTTTAAACAATTAGAAGTAGAAACCGAAAGAGGTGATGCCGGTTATCTTCAAATGGATTGCGCCCGTGAATCTTTTGCATTTGCAACATATAAACCAAAATCAGAAAGGAAAGTTAAAAAGTTTGTTCATTCGTTATATAATAATGTTCAAAAATATGATAACTCAGTATGTGGTAAATATATTGATCCTTCAGAAGTTTTCAAGAGAGCAAATGAAGAAGTTGATATCACTTTTGATATGATTATTCCGGTAAATGATTTGTTAGCATTTCAGGCGTTTGATGATTATCCTAAATCATTTGGTGATATCATTCTTAAATATTATGTTTTCAGGGATACTTTAGTATTTTGTCAGGTTGACCCGTTAAGAGTTGCTGATTTACAAAATTACGTTTATGAAAAGATAACTGATGAAAATTATGAAAAGATTATGAATCATGTTTATAAATATGATCGCAAATTCCAACAAATCGGACTTCCTGCCAAATTAATTACAAGCTTAGCCACCACATCTGCTGACGCAACAGTTGATGACGTTATTATTTCATGCACAAAGATGGAAGTTTTAGAGGATAAATGTATTACACCAGGATATGGTTTAATTGAAGAATCAGTTAAAGCAATACCACGTTTATTCAGTAAGGAAGATCCATTCATGATTCCAGCTCAACATATTGACGTTCGTTCACTAAATGGAGGTTGCATCACTCCTGAAGGTATTAGCTCAGATTTCTCATACGCTCTTCATAATGTTACAGATGTTGTGTTAACATTTCCGAAGAATGCAATGCAAAGAACAGTTTTAGAAAATCCAATGCTTCGAGGTCTTCAGGTCACTATAGATTCCAGAAACTTCCCCGATCAAGCGATGACCACAGTGGGTGACATATTCTTTACACGTATGCTTCAAGCTTCTGATTTAGATGGAGTGAATGAATGCACGGAAGAATACGAGGACTCATTAACTAGACCACTGAATGCAGATGATGGCACGCCATTAGCTAGAACATGGAAAGACCAAACTTCATTCTTATGCACTATTCCAGTTCAACGTGATGGAGCGGGTATATTCTTTGATGGATTAGAAACTTTCAACTCACAAGTTACAGTACAAGTGAAAGCTTATCCAATCATTCAGGGTGAAAATGACACTTACTGTTCAAAGGTGACAAATCCTCCTCAGGTTTGGTTTACTAGGACTACATATTGGACATGGACACCGGATGAAGGTTTGAAATATCATCCAACAGGTACACCACCGCAGTATAGAAGTTCATATGATGAAATATTGATGAATAGAAATGTTTAAAATTATAAATTTATTTTTGATTAAATGAATTTAAATTCATCCACCCCTTATGAAGAATTAGCAGGAGTATATAATACATACGTAGATGATATGATTAATGAAGCATTGAGTGATAATAGAAATGCTCTATCTAAGGAAAAATTAATGAAAATTCCATATTCTGAATGTTATTTAAATTCAATCACTGCAGCAATTGGTAAACAAAATAAAGGTAAAACATTAACGATATTAAAACAAATTATCATTATTGCTAACACTTCCCCCATTCACATGTGTTAATTTATATCAACCGTTCAGGTTCTCCTTCAGATGATACATTTGAATCTTTAAAGCATTTAATCAAAATTCCAATTATTTATTTATCACAAGAAGAAGCAGAAGATTATTTAAAAAACTTTTTAATGTATAAAGAATTATATAATACAATCAAGAAGCAAGGATTAGAGGATAAAATTATTGATAAACAACGGGATGAATTATTTGAAACACTTTCTATTTCAAATTTTGATAGAGAATTTTTGCATTCACTCATTTTTCTAGATGATGCAGTGCAATCAAAACTAATAACAAATGAGAAATCATATTTTAATCAGTTATTAACTCAATGTCGACACATTCAGTGTTCATTCTTTATGGCTGTTCAATATTTCAAAGCATTAAGCACAAACATTAAATCAAATCTATCAACACTTTTCATTTTCAGTGGGTTTAGTCGTCAACAGTTGAACGTTATGCTTTATCAAGTGAATTTACCAATGAGCATTAATGAACTTTACACACAATATCAGCAATTAGGTGAACATGGAAAATAATAGTTGATTTAAATAAAGGAAGTGTTAAATTTGATTAACTTTTTATAATTAATTTTTATTTTTTATTTATAATTAAACATGACAGAAATAGCAAATCTTCTACAGGTTCCATTAAAACAAGGGACAAACAAAAGGGGTGCATATAATAGAACTATGAAAGTTCCTGATGGAATGAAAGAATTAGTTCATATTGTTGCTGGTCTTCAAAAAGATGTTAAACAATGAGAAACGTTTTAACATTACCAGAAGCTCAAGCATATGCCACGTCATGGTCCAAATTGGGAAGCACACGAAGCAGACATTACGGGTCCAAATGGAAAACCCGATGGTATAAATGAAGTTTTCGTTACTGATGGTCAAGGTAATATTAAAGTCATAAATGGTTATAAATTAACTATATCTGATTATCCTAAACGTAAAGTATATAATGAACGTTATCCTATGCAATTTGATGAAAATGGAAAAGCTGTTAAACAATACATTGGAGAGGTGAAAATGGTCCAATTAATTCATACCGTCATAATCCATATTCTTATTTCAATGAAGAATTAAATGCTATTGAAGAGGGACCGGATGGATTACCACGATATTCTAACCAGTTTGATGGTCAATATGCAAATATTAGACCTGAAATTTCAGCTAAGAAATTCTTTAAAGTTGCTTTATTCGATCCAGTTTTCGCAAATGTTAAAGATGAACTTAAACAGCAATTCCAACCAATTATAGTAGCAAGAATTGCATCAGGTGCTTTATCTCAAGCATTCAAAGATTTAATTAAGAAACCATTATATCAGCAACGAGGTTTAACTTATGATTTAGTTAAGGAATCAGATAAAAGAAAATTTGAGAAATCAGATGATTATAAGAATGCAATTAATGAATATATTCGGTCTATTAATTTCGATGAACAGCTAAAAATCAACTTCATGAACAAATACAGGGAATAATAGATTCAAAAGTTCCAGCAAAATAAAAGTTTAAATATATTTTTTTATTCGATTATAAATGAGAAGACGTTTCACTAGTCAAAAGAACACTAACGCAAAAGCAGAGATTACGGTTGGTTATAACGTAAATGATGATAAATCACGAATTATTCAAAATGTTAAAGTTAATGTTAGCCCTGAATTAACAAGGTCAGCAACTCAACCAAATTTATTAACTCGTGACTTACCGAAGAATGAGGAGAATGAAGAAAACCATGAGAATGGAGACCCAATCATTTTATCTGAACCTGGTAAAGAACCTGTTGAAATTCCCACTTATCCAACATACCCCCACCTCTTTCATCAAACATCGAGAACCCATATAAAATAGACATTAATTCTGAATTAATGAAAATTTACCGTGATATAATAATTAATAATTATGATTCAATAATAAATTTAAATTGACCAATCCGGTTTAATTATTTTACCTTATGAATCATTAATTCACATTATCGCCATTCTTTGTGATGTTCAAGATTCAGACGTTAAGATTCAATTTTTCATAGATGATGAGGTTTCATGCTGTGGAATAGTTGCAAAAATAAATCCTATAAAGGATATTAGCACAATTAAGATAACAAAGAATGGAACAACAACTGAACTTCATTTAACATATAATAATATTTATAATAAAATAGTTGATGAATATAAAATATCACTTGAAAAATTCTTTGTTAAGGCTATTTAATATTCAAGCATTAACATTATCGAATAATAATCCTTTGAATCATAATCAATAATAATTGATCTTTCACCAGTTTCTATCGTTTGTTTTATTTCTTTTTGTTCCCCACTATCCGGATCGGTCATTGTAATTGTTTTTGTTATAGTATCAGCTTTATCTTTAACTTCAATCTTTTTTCCATCGGGATATTTAAACCAAAATTCCAAAAATTCGATATTGTCAATCTGTTCATATTTTAATCTATCAATTACATTTTTAATACCATCTGAAAATCTGATGAAATGGTCATTATATGGGTTTGATTGAACTAAATTTGAATGAAGTGAAATATAACCTGTTGATGAATATGACATTGACTCATATTTTCTGAAAACACTAAAATTTATAACATGAATGAATTTCTTATTCGTTGAATTTATGAATTCTTGAGGTAATCTTATTCTAGTTTTATTTATCACTGGAAAATAACGCTTTACCATATTTTTAATCGTAATAAAAATGTCAATTATCAATATTATTTCGAATAATAACTGTGAATTAAATTTAACAGTTAGCGGAATTTATAATGTTACTCTCGTTTCTGTGAGTGGTAAATTTAATCCCATCTTTTAGACCCTTCAGATTATATATCATTTATTAAAGATGACCATGAAAAACGTATGATATGTATATAAATAATGTGATAGCGAAATGGGATATTAACACGATTTTAAGTTATTTAAATGAATCATTTATCGTATGGTATGAAGAAAATTTTAAATCAAAACCTGATAAACTTTTTGAACTTGATGAAATAAATAACCTTATTAAATTCCCGCTGAAAATTAAATTTTGTACTCCTCATCTTCGTTCATTGTTGGGGATATTAAATTTTGAAAAAGATGTTGGGGATGTTTTGTATTCTGACACTGGTTCCAATTTCATTTTAATCAAATGTGATAAAGTTAATACCCCAATGAGATTTTCACATCAAACATTAGACCCTAACTCTTACCCATCAATACAAAACATTTTATCCATCAACTTAAACACATTTTCTTTATCATATCCGTTTCAATTATCCGGGAATTCATTTTTCTTCATTCAAAAGATTTATCAATATTAAATTTAGAATAACTGACCTATTTGATTGTGATTTAGAATTTATGAATGAAATATTATGGCAATTTCAAATAGAAAAAATAGCTGATGAGATAACGGATTAAATATTTATTTTTAAATCATAATAAATGATTAAACAACAGCAACCGCAGCAACTTAAGGCGCAAAGCACCCAGGTCCTTCAGACCATTACATACGCCATATATGCATATAATTCAAAGATGGCAGAACAAACGCAAAGGTTGAAATATGGAGATTTGGAGATAGTATTGAAAAATGACCATTTCGAATTCGTTTGCAAAGGTGGTGCAGTGATATCAAATATAAAAGAAATTTTATTTATGAATTCAAAAATTAAAGGAATAACGGATGATATAACATCAATTCCACCAGAAGAACAGAAATATTACGCATTAAATGCATTTCCTAAAGTTTTGAAGATTGGAAGATTTAATTTAAATGAGGAATTCATAGAAGGTTTCCTAAACGACATAATGAAGAAGGCGGATAAAACATATGTGGATAGTGAGTTAGAGAAGAAGGCAAATTTGGTTTATGTTGATGAAAAAGATAATGAAATTAAAGAAAAGGTTGAACGGTATTATGAATGGACATTTGAGACTTTTAAAGTTAAAGCTGATACAGGATGGGTTTCAGGATGTTTAGACCTTAAAGCGGATAAAACATATGTTAACGATGAGTTAGAGAAGAAGGCGGATAAAACATATGTTAACGAAATATACCAAAGTTTGATAGGAACAAAAAATATTGAAACTATTGTTGGTGACTTTTCTGTCAATGAAGAAAATAAATATAGGGTGTCCAAAGGTGTGTTTAGCACAAACCTGAATACTGCGAATAGAAATAAACAAGTTACATATATATAAAGTTTATTTAAATATAATCACCATTGGATTCAATCACGCGTTCGCAGCGATCGATCCAGGCTTGAAAGACACGCTTTAAATCATCATGAGAAAATTGCTCAAATTGCTCTCTTACAAAATTTTCAAGATCATCTGGACTCGCGAATTCGCGTCCTTCAGCTCTCTTTTTTAGCGTGCCGAATAAATAAAAGTCAGAGGGTGCAATATCAGGTGAATAAATTGGGTTTGGAACAACTTTGACATTGTTTTCCACCAAGTAATTCATTACCTTATGACTTTTGTGAACTCTTGAATTATCAAAATGAATTGCAAACTTTTGTTTTTGTTGTTTGGATTTCTCAAACTCATCAGAATTGATAATTTGAGTAAGAACATTGTCAATTAGATACTGAGCATTCATCGTATTAGGTTTTTGAAGAATATCAATTGCGATGATGCCATTCACGCCCCAAAAAACCGACAACATCATCATTGGTGTGTCAATTTTTTTCTTCGGGAATGTTTGCGGATTTTCATCCTTCGGGATCCACATGATTTTGGCTTCTGTTGCATATTGAAACCAAGACTCGTCCCCTGTTACTAAAAAGCGAAACTTCTTGGATTGGTACGCACCCAATATAGAGAGGAGCTCTTTCGAAGATTGGACTCTAGATTTTTTTTGAACTGAATTAAGGTTGTGCGGAACCCAACGTGTATACGCTAGTTTGTAGTTCAAATAATTGTGCAGATAATAACTGACTGTTGTACGTGGTATCTTTGTCATCTCCTCTATCCTTCTGAGTGATGCTCTTGGGTCTTCATCTAGCGCTTGAAGAATCGCTTTGATTTTTCTTTGATCCGGCGATTTTTTGTCAATTTTTATGATGGGCGCCTTTTTGTTCATGAAGTGATACATCCTAACATGATACGTTACAGTGGAATAGCTAGGAGCATCCATACCGAAGCATTTTACCAATGTCTCGTAGATTTTTTTACAGTCTTTGCATTTTTTTGCAAGAGCGAGGATGTTTTCTTTATGATTCATTAAAAAAATGAAAAAAAAACGCCAAAATTTCCCGCGAAACCGCCTCTTGTCTCAAAATTCATTTTATATCCCGGCATGGCGCCAAAATACAACTTACTCATCATATACATAAATTCATATTTTTTATTATATATTTATAATCAGCATATATCTCCTTTAATAGTCTCATATAGAGCGCTGTGCTAAACGCACCTTTGGACACCCTATATTTTAGATGGCAGTTTGTACACTCCTTAAAAAATGGTGCACGGTGTAAACTCATTCCGAAAAATAACAATGAAATGTATGTAAGCTATAAAAAGAATGATGGTACACAAGTTAAAGTTCCATTAGACAACAACTGCTACTTAAACTTATATGGAGACGAACAAAAGAAATATTTAAGAGTTTATGAAATGGTAGATATGACATTGCCTGACCCAGCTCCAGCACCATATTATTATGACTATGGAGATGACGACAGAACACCACGTGTAGATGAACAAAAGCTAACATTATATTTAGATTATTATAGATATAAAAGATATAATGCAATAGAAAAAACGAGAATAGTATATTATTATACAGATGACAGAAATAAATATTATAGTCAAGATTTTACCTACCCTGAAAACATAAGATTATATTATAAAAAATATTCTAACACAAACCAGAAGAAACCTGAAATAGTTGCACTATATTTTAAGTTCAAAAGAGACAATCCTATAATATCTCATATGTTTGATTTAATGAACCCAGTAGGTTCTATTTATACATCTATGGATGCAAGAGGTCCTCAAGTAATGTTTGGTGTTGGTGCATGGGAACAAATAGTTGACAGGTTTTTGTATTGTGCAAACTCTTCAAAGGAAACAGGGGAAAGTAAAACGATTTCAGGTGAAAATTTACCTGCACACAGTCACTACATAGATTTAAGTACATCTCAAGCGGGTTGGCATAAGCATAGATATTGTGATTGGTCAGGAATGACAAAAGGTAAAGGATATGATGTTAAAGACGACGTTAAGTTTGCTATAAATTGTTACTGGAGTGACACTCAGGGAGAAGGAAACCATACACATTTCGTTTCAGGATATACACAAACAACGGGACAAAGTAAAGAATACATGCCACCATTTATGACTGTATTCGCATGGTATAGAGTTCAATGAACGCTCAATGTTTGTGAAACAAACTTTAGAACGGACTGAAAGTCCTGAGCTCCAAAAGAGCGAACGGCATAATTTAAATTTTTATTTTAGTATAAATGACAAAATTAATTAAGCCAACTATTTCTAAATTAATGATACCAATGAAATCATTTCATGGAGTACTTATCCCAGGTTCTTCACAATTAGTCGGGGCAGGTGTTGTGACTCAAGGTGGAACATTAGTGAATCCATTCAAATTATTAACTAAAGATGAACTTAATAAAATGATGATAAAATAACTAATAACAAAATTTTATTTCACTACTATCATAAAAAACAGGTGAGATCTCACCTCTTCACCTCAACTTTATTTATTTTTATTTTTTTATTTTGTATGTAAGAACAGAAATGTCAGTCGAAGCACAGACGTTCACGAACAAATCTAATGGTGAAACATTCACAAAAGGCACTTATAATGGTATTGAAGTCTTACGTAGAGACAAGGATGGTTACATTAATGCAACAAAGATGACAAGAGAAGTGGGAAGGTTAAACCATTTAAACAGATTTCTCAATAGTACTAAAATGCAGGAAATTATTGAGTTTTGGATGAATGAATACGGTCGAGCCAAAAGTGGCTCAACCTCAAACAAGCATTTTATGAGCTTACTAAGGGTGTTATAAATGAATTCAAAGGTATTTACATACATCCTGACCTCGTTCATTTTGTTGCTGAATGGTGCTCTGTAAAGTATGCATTTTATGTCAAAGATATTATGGACTCCATAGACAAGAAAGTTCATGAGAAATTAGATGAAGATGAACTCGAAGATACAGTAGAGAATGCTAAACATTTGTTTGAAGAAGAAGTTAGAAAAATGTGTGAAAAACAATTAGAACACGAACGTGAGATATGTTATGGTTGTAGAGATTCTCCATACGAACTAGACCAATGGGAACAAGAAGATTTAAAGAGAGAATTTAGAGAATATGAACTCGCTAAGATAGCATTAGAAACTGCAGAAAAGAAGTTAAAAGTTTGGAGTCGTTTTGTACAAAAATATTGTGAGTAAATGAACCATTTATTTTTATCATAAACGACCAAAAATATATGTTTACGTTAATGTTTTTAGGTTATTCAATAATTAATTATTTTTGAAGAACTGAAGGTGCTACCATGTTACCATGTGCTACCAGGTCAATTAACTTCTTTTAAAAATGTTGACAACATGACATTTTGACAACATCACGGGTGGAAGGTATTTATGAATTATTTTTGAAGAACTGAAGGTGCTACCATGTTACCATGTGCTACCAGGTCAATTAACTTCTCTGAAAAAATGAGACAACATGACATTTTGACAACATCACGGGAGGAAGGTATTTATGAATTATTTTTGAAGAACTGAAGGTGCTACCATGTTACCATGTGCTACCAGGTCAATTAACTTCTTTTAAAAATGTTGACAACATGACATTTTGACAACATCACGGGAGGATTAATGCAAAAATAAATTCAAATCATACTTAATAAAGCTTCATTTACAGGTATTTCATCATCAGTAAATGAATCCTCATTATCGTTTGGTTCAACCTGTTTATATAATCCTTTCATTTCTTCTTTCAAAACATAACACCATGTTTGTTTACCGTCTATTCTTCTATGTTTCCTATCACATTTATCCTTAATACTCATTTGGAAATTCTTGTCTTTCATGTCTGATGGTTTGCAGAATAGAGCATTTTCACACGTCATACCTGCACACAATTCATCATAATGTGTATTTATCCATACATCTAAAGGATTTGTTGATAATTCAATTAAATCTTGTTTGGCTTCAGTCATCGGAATGATTCGTACATTAAATGATGAAAGGTCGTAATTGATAAAATATGTTAAAAGGTTATCATAAAATTCCTTTGTGCATGAATCCATTAAATTCTTGAAATAATCAAATTGACCCTTAAATTTACCATTAACTCTTAAAACTACGTATCTTCTGTCTCCAACTTCAATTTTGACAGGGTAGACGTTGTTAGTTACGAAAATGAAGTTTGCAACGTTCTGAGCAGTTCTTCTGGGTTGATTCTTTTCATTAATTCTAATCTCATTATCCGTTATAATTGATTTCAAAGCGTTGAAGTTTGCGAGTCTGTCTTCACCTACATTCTTGAGTTCATTAAGTACAAGAAACATTTTATTCTCAACTACTGAATTGAAATTACCCGTTAACTCACCTATTTCGGTAATGTTTTTACATGAATAACCAGCGAGAAGTTCAGAAATAATGTCTGTAAATCTGTTTTTACCTGTTCCCTGAAGTCCTTTCAAAATAATTGCTGTTTCATTCTTGATTCCAGGATGTTGAATCATTGATGCAATCCAGCCGAGAAGGTATTTATACACTTCATCGTTATTATCACAAATGGCTTCTTTAATGAAATTCATAAACATCTCAATTTTTGAGTAATCAAGCTTTTCGAGAATGTTGTATTTATAACCTTGAAACGTTGAGAAAACATCTGGGGAATCAGATTTAAAGCAAACACCCTTAACGGTTAATGAGGATAATTGATTTAATAGTACATCCCATGCTGTTATTGTTTTACCTTCTTCTTTAAATAATTTAATCATTTTAAGTGACTCTTTCATGTTTGATTGAAGAACGAATGATATTTGATTCATTTTGTTGTGGATATTATAGTCCTTTTGAATGAAATATTTGTTTCCACAATCTACAAAACGGATTACACGTGATAAATCCTCAATTACTTCAGAACTGTTTTTATACTGATGATTTTCAGCCTTGCGTCTAATATCTGTTATCAAAAACGAGTCATCAAGTTTGATATCAAATGTTATTTTTGGCTTACGTAATAAAGGTAAAACATATTCATCATAATATTCCTTTTGATATAGTTTTAGAATCTTCACCAAAACAATGGAGAAGTCATTAAATGTGCATATCTACCACGTGCTTTTTCAAAATTACTTTTTGCATTTTCTGTTAAACTGCAGAAGTTATAAACGTTATCGTAGGCTTCATTAATTAAATGATTAGGTAACGAATTAATAGCTTGAAACAGTGTGAATAATGTAACTTCTTTTTCAATTCATGTTTCCACCGTCATTATGTACTTCAAAATCACAGATGCCATCAACTATGCTCTGGCAAGTTTATCGTCAATGTTTACATCTTTGTTTTCATTCATTATACTCTTTATTTCTTCATTCGTCTGTTCAACTCTTACCTTAATATTCAAATCATTTAATATATCATTCACTGTTCTGGTTAATGTTGAATCATAACTTCCACGAATGAATGAGTATGTATTGATTGGTTCTGTTGCATTCTTGCGAACTCTTGAATCAGCCATAACTACTAAAGAACGCTTTGAATCATCCATAGAAGTCATGATATCGATATCATAATCATTGCAGGAATAACATTTAATCATTCTGTTCGAAACTGCATAGAAGAAATTAGTGTTGCAATAAATGTGAAGACCTCCTGAAGCGGTTTTAACGATAACATCTTTATCCGAAAGTTTTGATAAAATGTCTTTTCTAACTGTTTCTTTAAGTTCATCATTGTATGATTTATTGATATCAACATCTATAATCGTTAAATTTGAAATTTTATTTACTAATAAAGCCATACCAGTTTTCCTTCCTCTTCCTCCATCGTGTTTGAGGTAGTTATGTAAATCAATCTTGTTTTCACCAATTCTTTCGTTGAGGGTTTTAGTTTCTGCCACAACTAATTCCTCAACTAATGAATCAATAACTTTTTCATCAGAAACGATATAGTTGCTGTTGTTGTTTGTTGCCGTCATTTATATAGGAATAAAAAAATAAAAATAATTTTAAAACTAACTTTATTTTTGGACTGCATCATATTTCCCATGATGTTGTCAAAATGTCATGTTGTCTCATTTTTTCAGAGAAGTTAATTGACCTGGTAGCACATGGTAACATGGTAGCACCTTCAGTTCTTCAAAAATAATTCATAAATACCTTCCTCCCGTGATGTTGTCAAAATGTCATGTTGTCTCATTTTTTCAGAGAAGTTAATTGACCTGGTAGCACATGGTAACATGGTAGCACCTTCAGTTCTTCAAAAATAATTCATAAATACCTTCCTCCCGTGATGTTGTCAAAATGTCATGTTGTCTCATTTTTTCAGAGAAGTTAATTGACCTGGTAGCACATGGTAACATGGTAGCACCTTCAGTTCTTCAAAAATAATTCATAAATACCTTCCTCCCGTGATGTTGTCAAAATGTCATGTTGTCTCATTTTTTCAGAGAAGTTAATTGACCTGGTAGCACATGGTAACATGGTAGCACCTTCAGTTCTTCAAAAATAATTCATAAATACCTTCCTCCCGTGATGTTGTCAAAATGTCATGTTGTCTCATTTTTTCAGAGAAGTTAATTGACCTGGTAGCACATGGTAACATGGTAGCACCTTCAGTTCTTCAAAAATAATTCATAAATACCTTCCTCCCGTGATGTTGTCAAAATGTCATGTTGTCTCATTTTTCAGAGAAGTTAATTGACCTGGTAGCACATGGTAACATGGTAGCACCTTCAGTTCTTCAAAAATAATTCATAAATACCTTCCTCCCGTGATGTTGTCAAAATGTCATGTTGTTCATTTTTTCAGAGAAGTTAATTGACCTGGTAGCACATGGTAACATGGTAGCACCTTCAGTTCTTCAAAAATAATTCATAAATACCTTCCTCCCGTGATGTTGTCAAAATGTCATGTTGTCTCATTTTTCAGAGAAGTTAATTGACCTGGTAGCACATGGTAACATGGTAGCACCTTCAGTTCTTCAAAAATAATTCATAAATACCTTCCTCCCGTGATGTTGTCAAAATGTCATGTTGTCTCATTTTTTCAGAGAAGTTAATTGACCTGGTAGCACATGGTAACATGGTAGCACTGAAAAAATTAAATTTGGATTGAGTTTTAAAATTCATCTTTATTAAATTCATCTCTTCCAATCAATTTATTTATTCTATTAAATTCTTTTATTTTTGCTTCACTCAGTTTAATGATTGAACGATAAGTTTCTAATTTTTCGATTATTTCTTTCCTCTCTTTATCGTTTTCAACCCCACCACATTGCGGCTTCTTTTTGTAATAGCATATTTTTGATTTAATTCTGTTTAGTTTCTTTTTATATTCATCGTCTGGACTCTTGGCTGCTTCGTTGTCACTCATTTCTTACGAAATAAAAAAATTAAATATTATTTAAATATAATGGAGTAATAAAATAAATCGGAATTTCTATTAATTTATTGTCAACTTCAACTAATACATTACCGTTAATATATCTAACAAATTCAGCTATTGTGTCAAATCTTCGTCTTCTTTTTGTCATTGATTTATCAGTTTTTCCATAATCGAGATGAATCAAAACTTTATCCCCTTGTTTAAAATTCATGAGCCCCGAATTAATTTGTTCACGTTTAACATCATTTAACCTTTCTATTTGCTTTCTAATATATTCCCATTCTTTTGAAATATCATTTTTCATTTCCACTGGTTTCATGTTTATGGTTCTATGCCATGTATTATTGTAATAATATACTAACTGCTGTATGATGGAGTCATGATTTCCATCCCAGTATATCTGACCGTTAACCCCTAACGCATCTCTAAGAGTTCTCATTACCGCATCAACTATTTTATTATGAAACGTATATGGAGAGGATGAAAAGTAAAAATTAATTTGTGGGAAATAATGAGCCATAGCTGCCTGAAATCCTTTATCACCATCACCCTTTATATTATCTACTCTTTCATGATCTAGTAAGTATTGTATAGCTCTTCTTGTTTCCTGTTCTGTTTTCCCTTTCACCGGAATGCAATATAAATATCTAGTGTTAATGTTAATGGCAAATAAATAAGTAACGTTTCCTTTTGAATATTCTAAATGATCGATTTCGTATGAATATGGATATGGAGCAAATGAAGGGCGACTAAATTTTTCCTTTAACGGTTGAATTTTTGGGTCAATTGGTTTATTTAATATCTTGAAATCCTTTTTAAAATCTTTTTGCTTCTTTAATGTTTGAAATGGATATAATAAAGTGAATGATGAAGGATTAACTGAAGGAGGAGGAGGTACTACTGTTGGAGGTTTTGGTATTGCAAGTGATTTAATTTTATCTGCTTTGATTTTGGAATTCATTCCTCCTTTCATTAATTCTGGATGTATTCTATTCATTTGTTTTAAATATACTGTATATAAAGGTTTGATATACTTTCCCGCTTCGAGTTTATGTTGAAGGATGAATTCCAAAAGTTGATCTTCATTTAAAAGTCGGGCTGAATATGGTTTAACTAATGAATCATAAATTAAAGCTTGTGCATCATTTATGGTCTGAAGGACCTGGGCGTTTTGCACTTTTGGCTTTTGTTCCTTTGGCTTTTGCGGCTCAGGATTATATAAATTATATAATTCATCAATATCTTCTTCTGTTAATACTTTATTTTTGAAATCTTTCAATTGTTTAAATTGTGATTTAGTTTTTCCCTTTGTATATTCATTATTTTTAATTTTGTCTTTAATTTTAGAAATTATTTTATCATGATATTTCAAAATTTCATTTTTATAATATGGATAATAATATTCCATATCATCACCCGTTATATTGTTATTATGTTTTTGGAGATATGCTTTTAAATCATAATAATTAAGAAAATTTTGATTAAATACTAAATCACCAATTAAATTTTTTAAATCTACACTATCCATTTATATAAAAATAAAATAAATGTTTTACCCCCCCACCTCTTTGATCAAGAATCAAAACCATCATTAACAGTTCCTTTTGTCTCTTCTGTGGCATTTCATTAAAAATAAAATTTTAAATTGTATTAAATAAATGGCATACAACATCCATTTTCACAACATACAGCCTTAGTGTGTGCTCCTGTTAATGCAGTCTTACCGATTGTTAAGCGAGTCATTGACCTGTTTTTAAGTTGTAAATTAATATTCTGACCATCAAATATCACTTTATCATTTATTATATCCAAATAATTTTTAGGTGTTAATTGTTTATTTTGTCGTAAACTAACACCTTTCATTTTTTGTGCAATCTTTTTAAAATCACTTTCATCAATTGAACCGTTGAATGATGTATAACACTTGGGGCATAAAGCAACCATGTTATCACCTTGTTTCTCAATTGCTAAATCCAATAACTTTTTCTCATGTGCTTTTTCTTCAGCTTTATTCTTTAATTTAGGTTTAAATTTCTCATCAAAACAGAAGAAATCAAATGGTGCGAATTTGAAAATGTTTTTATCATAAAATTGTTTATCAGTAACAATTGCTTGAAATGCTTGAGTGT